ACTCCCAGAATTCCCCAGCCAGCATGCTGGCTGGGGAATTCTGGGAGTTGAAGTCCACCCATCTTCAAGCTGTGCCCTAAATTAAGGACATCTTCCTTTCAAGTAAATGCAGTACAATAAAACACCTTTACACTTAAATAGATATTTAGGGACTGGATGGGGAACACTTCCCCATTCCATTTGTTTTGAGTTATTATTGAATTTATTTTATACCTCACCTGGAGGCATCCGCAGGGTTGGAAAACTTTGTCAGAACGATGAAAGCATCGTTGTGACACGCAATGCGAGCTCCCGTCCCTTTTGTCCATGCGTGCAACGTCATGACAGATGTCTACAAAAGACAGGGCTTACACACAATGGTGCAACGCTATTCTTGCCACATGTCCCCCCAGGTTCACGTTTTCCTTCTTCCTTCCAGATGACGAGGATGAGTGCGCTGCGTTTATTTGCAACTGCGACCGCACTGCGGCCATCTGCTTCGCTCGGGCACCCTACAACGAGGAATACAGGAAACTGGACACCAAGTACTGCAAATGATGTTCGGGCGATGTCAGCACAAGGCACCCTTGGTGTGTGACGATTCTCTGGACAGGACCTCGCGTGGCCCCCTGTGGAACAGAGAGGTCAGAAACTGCACCGGGAGAAAGAATTTTATTTTTTTAATACCAACGGAGTTGTTTCCTGAACAGTAAAGCAAGGCATCGATGATTCGCTGTTCTATTTTCTTCCCATAAATAAAGAAAACATTTTTGACGTTGGAGGTCATGATTTTCACTCAGAATTCTTTGCAACCTCACTGCATTTTTGCACAGTGCCTATCAGCTTCTGTCAGGCCTAGCCCAAGGAACTCCAAGAGACCATGCAAATCCAGTCCAGCTATGTTTATTAGCTACAACTTCTAGCAAGAATCTTCCCAGACTCAACCCCCAGCCCCAAAATCCCCCCAGCCACAACAGTGTGAATTCCTCAGGGAGGTGCCAGCCTCATCCTCTTGTTCCTCCCACGCTGTTCTGGCAAGCTAAGAAAATGCTTATCTCCCTGAGCTTGGCCTTCACAATTCCACTCCATCACATCTTCAGATCCTGGGGACGGGGGGGTTGCACCACAGTCACCTTCCCAAAGTGGGCAAAGTGAGGATCTTTGGGACGGGGGAAGAGAATCAGGAATGTGAAGAAGAAAAGCAGGTGCCCCTTCACCCAAGCAACTCCCCCCTTAAAAAGGCTGAAAAAATTAACGTCATCCACTTTGATAAGACATACTCTTTGCCAGCCCTGGCCTAAGGGATTACAAACAGTCTAGCTGTCCTGAGCTATCTGTAGGGTATGGTAAAAAAAGTCAAGATGGCAACTAGGTGTTGGCCCCACTAAGTAGACCAGACTGAGAGAACAACTCCACAGGAAAGCTAAAACTACTTGTATTGGGATTGGTTCAATATCTCCATCAAGGTCATCTTCCTTATTCTCTTCGCCATGATGGTGCACCACACATTAAAAAAAGTGGAGTTTCAACTGCACCATCATGGCCACCGTCTTGAATTTATGGCCACATCCTGCAGATACCCCACAGCAGTCCTGTGCATCAGCGGGGCAAAAACGGGGCTTCTTTGAGCCTCTCCTGATACATCTCAGGCATTTGTATGTGGGCATCAATGTGCAATCAGTTGTCGTTCACTGTTCAGCTTCTGAGATGCAGTTATCTGAACTGAAAACAAGTTGGAAACCTGTCGAGACTAGGTTCCAAATTTTCTACAGCCTCTTCAGGATGTGTAATGGTATGTGGGAAAGACCTTGGGAGACAGGGTGAAGAGATGCTGTCTAGGGAACGTTCAGATAAGAGAGGGCTTAGCCCACAGCTGCACAATGGGTGCAGAAAGAGGCTCCGAAGGGACCCTCCCAGTTTCTTGGATTGTAAAGGAGACAGGGGGTGGGGGGAGAATTGTACTTTCAGACTTGCAAGATTCTGTTAACGTAGCCTTACAATAATTAGCTCATCTGGTCATGTTTCCTGTCTGGTCTACCTGGGAAGGCTGACAAGATGGCTCCACCCTGGGAGGGGGCTCAGAATGGGGCCATTGCAACTATAGAGCCCCTGCCACAGGGATGCTTTGGGGCATTTTTGGGGAATCTTGTTCTCTGCAGCCCTTGGTGGATCTGGGATATAAATGCTTAAGTCCTCACTTAGTGACCACAGTTGGGACCAGCAACTCCATTTCTAGTCACCACGGTCACTAAACAAAAAATTATGTGACTGTGATGGACTTACTTCCAATTTGGTCATTAAGCAAGTCACTGCGGTTGTTAAGCAAAACATCAGGTGACCATGACTTACGATTTTACTTCCACATTCTCCGTTAACTCTGTTTGTCACCAGCTGGTTGGGAAGCACGCAAATGGCGATCACATGACTGCAGGACATTGTGATGGTTGTAAATATGAGGATTGGTTGCAAAGCTGTTTTTTTTTTTACATTGTCATAACTTCAAATGATTGCTAAACATGACAGTCAGTAAGCGAGGACTACCTCTAATAAGTTGTGGACAGCCAGATCTTAGCAGGAACCCAACTGTTCTCATTGAAATGCACTTTTTCATCCAAGATGTTTTTCATCCAGACATGTTCTCATACCCAAGATGTGGACTTCAACTCCCAGAATTCCCCAGCCAGCGTCTTAAAGTTGCTAAGGTTGAGGAACACTGCTCTATCTAAAAGGACATGAGTTACAGTTAGGATGAAAAGGCAACTAAAAATAATTCTGGTGATATACGCTGAAGTTTTCTGAATTGATTTTGGAGTTTTGGAACGGATCCATTTCCCTTTTCAATTTCCTTGTCTTCAAATGTTCCCCAATGAGGACCCACAGCTTGGGGGTTGTGTCTAGTTCAAAACATCTTGGATGAAAAAATGCATTTCGATGAGAACGATGGGGTTCCTGCTAAGATTTTCTTCTCAAGCATCTGGCTGTCCACAACTTATTACAGGTAATCACAAAGTCACATCTGAGTCAAACTTAATTCCTTTTGATTTTATGTATGTCACCCGTAAAAAACAAGCAGAACTTTGATGGTACCATTGTGACTTTTCTGACTACCGTCTGCAGACACCCCTAGTTGTGGCCTGGGGAGAGAGAACAACGTGGAGGTAACCACGTACGATCAGCAGATCAAAGATCAATTAACTGGGAAAGGAAGATCCAGTCTGCTTCCTCAGGCATCAATACGAACTGCAGGAATCCACAAGTGAAAACGTTCTACAAAGTAAAACGTTTCCGCACAGCATCCAGCTGCTGGACAGCTGCAGGGAAGACCTGAGATGTTGGGGACCTGATTTCATGGAGGGACGGTGTGCAAGTAACCAGGGATCGCCCAGACACCCAGCTGTTTGGAGCTGTGATGCAGCCGTTTTGCATGGTGGGAGTTCCCCTTGGAAAGGATGCAATTGGTTCCTCTGCCCCTGATGTCACAATTCTCCCCCGGGCAGCTATGGGCCAGGAGGGTGGAAGGCTTCTCTCGCAAAGCTGCTCCTGCCCAGAGGCAAAACCGCACCGTCTTTCCTGCCAAAAGCTTCGGCTGCTTGGCTCTTCCAGGCCTAAAGAGTTGGGAGGAGAAGGCCATTTCCAGCAAAGTCGCCACCTTGATTAAGTACATGCTTCCAAGGGCCTGATGGCCTCCAGAATAAAAGCTGGGTGGGAACCCACTGGGCCTGTCCTTGAGACACATGCCCAGATCTGGTTCTTTGGCTCGGGACCTTCCATGGCAAGGATTTCTCAATCTCTTGCCCATCCAAAATGCCAGCCGTCCATAACCTGGTGCCCTTCAGATGCATCGGACATCCATTCCCGGGGTCCCCGGTCGATTTGGGAGTGGAAATCTGGCCCATCTGGAGGCATAAGATTTGGAGAAAGCCAATCGAGGTTCTGGCTGTCTGAGATCTCAGACTCGGCTTGATTCGCACAACAGCTTAGGCTAACCTGTAGGTTAGCTCGTTTGGAGCTTAAGGAGTGTGTGAATCCAGCCGGTGTACTTAGCTTATGTTTGGGTGTTTTCTGTGAAGCCAGGTCATCAAGTAAATTCTGTAGCTAATTGCTTACCTACTTAACCATTATTATTATGAACAATTATAATGAAACATGATCACTTTTCACAGAAACGTTTGCGTAAAATAAATACGTGCGTAGGCAGCCTATATATATTATTTACGTATATAAAAGGAAAACAAAACTATACATATCTATACACGCATATGTGCAGGTACGGGTTTTGGGGGGTTTTCCCCAATGTCCCCCCCGGTTCTTTAATTAAATAAATAATAAAAAAGCAAAGGATGCTAATTAATCCGCTTAAGAATCCGCACAATAATATTTTATTACGAATCGACGTTCAGCCTCTTAGTACAGGGTAGAGGTGAGAAAGGCAGCCCGTGTAGTTCATAAAACACAGATGATGGGATAGTAAACTGTGATGGGTGCACGGTTGTTTTTCTAAAACCAGTTGCAGCTTTCTATATGTTTCTCCCCCTTCCGATCAAGCCACTGGAAAGAGGGAATATTTGGGCCGGAAGCATGTCTGGTTTTTAGAGTCCCCTGCAGTTACCCCCGATTCTGGCGGAGAAGCTGTAATTCGTGGCTCCCTTCTTCTGACCAGGGAGAAGATGGAGATGCTGAGCGAATTTGACAACGAGTCCCCGCTCTACGTCTCCTTCTGCAGGCGAATCTCCCCGGAGGACTTTGAAAAGCAGTCCTTGATTTACACTCAGAAAGCTTTGCGGGACCTTTACGCCCACATGGAACAGAATCCAGGAATTTGCGCATCTGTTGTGCGGAAGAGGAAGCAGCTGGACAGCGAGGATGCTGGTCTGGTGTCCTATGTGAAGGTACGGTTTAGGTTTTACCGGCATGGTTAACCGAAAGGATTGCCTCCCCCGTAAAATATTCACACGGTGCGCCCAACCAAAGTTGGAAGTAAAGTCCTAGAACACACATTCACCCAACTGGGGAAGGTTGATTAAGGTTCATTTTAGCAAGTCTGGTTGTGACTTACTGCAGAGCGTACAGTAGATCCAGCCAGTTGGGTTAATTTAGGCGTCCACATATTGGGTGGGAAATGGCTCATTTGAGTAACCAATTGAAGTACGTGACTCTGGGCAGCTAATAACGATGGAAAATGGAAAATCGAACAGTGCGATCCAGTGCAAGCAAGGCTTCAAGCAGAATTGTCCATAGGGCGTCATAAAACTCATACACTAGAGCTCAGCTACCAATGGCTGAGAGAAGAACCAGGTCTTCAGGGTCTTCTTGAACGCTAACAGGGCAGATCTGTGGCTTGCATTTCTTAACCCTCTACAACTTTCCCCAATGCATCCCTTTTCCAGTGGCTGAGCGCTTCCGATGGTTTGGTTTGGAGGAATATTCAGAAGTGAGATGGAGGTTCTCATCTGGCCCACTGTTCTAGATGGGATCCCAGCTCCTCCTCTGGTTCCTGCCATCCTTCTCAGGTTCTCCTGAGCCATTTCCCTCCCTGTGACTTACAGTCATCGTTGAAGTGATAGGAAGCCCGCCCTGCTTGCTGCTGTTTTGCTACCACAGTGGTGGGAGCCAAGATCTCCAAGGCCACCAGTGGGGAAGCGACCATAGACGAGCTCTTCTGTTTGGCAGGCCAAGTTTTCTTCCTTGTTTCACCACCACGATTCCCTGGAAGTGGATGACATACAAGAGGAGGTGAAGCAGCTGAAGAGTGAGATGCAGAGGGTGAATAACTAT